TTACCTGAATGTCGATGCGGATGGTAACTGCGGATTTCGGGTCATCGCGAGTCACGTGTATGGTCACCAGAAGTACAGATGCAAGAGACAGCATTGCGAATGAGGTCGACAACCACCGTGAATTGTACGAGTACATCTATTATAGAGATATCGACGCCGGACTCAGTCGCGTAAGGTGGGGCAAGGGCCCTTGTGGACGGGCTCACTGGTTCGAAGTTTCGGAGGACCTCTACGCCGTTGCCACCCTATTTAATGAGGTTGTCATTCATTTGAGCTCTGGTTCGCAAGGTGGGCAGCACGACTTATTCAGCAACACAGTGTTGCCTCTCACTGCACGATCATCGGCTAGAGGACCATGTCGTGAGATTGGCATTTGCCATCTTGGTACCGTAGCACACTACATTCGTTTAGATTTGACTGATGATTGTCCATTACCGCCTATTCATAACATGTTGTTCCGTTACCGAGATCAATCGGTTGTGGGTTGGGAGCATCAGTACCAGTCTAGGTTGCAATTGTGGTATACTGTTCAAACAAAAGCTTCTTGAATAAAAGAACGATATTATTCACTTGTGGTGTGACGCTTCTCATTCAACTTAAGTTTAGCAAATAAAGATAAATAAATGAATCAGTTCAACTTAAGTTTAGCAAAAAAAAAAAAAAAAAAAATCATTCAACTTAATGTTTTACAATAATAATTAAAAAAAAAACATTCATTACATCATTATTGGGCATTGTCGTAATCCAACTTAAACTTAGCCAGCTGTTCTTCGACTTCCGCCGCCATCGGACATTCGCATCCCTGCTGCCAAATCGATGTAATGCCCAAAAGACGGTCCACCCACTAAAAAAATGGAAGAATAAAAAGATAAGACTAAAATTTATTAAAAAAAATTATTGTAATGAATTAACATTAATTAAAATTTAGTAACCAACTTACATAGGCGGTATTGACACGCGTTGGGACCTCGTTCTCGTCCAGCAGCTCCTCGCCCATGAGAGTCGGATGGGAAACCCGACTGTACCACTGCAGGTAATCCTCAGTCGCCTCCCCGCGATCCTGTGTGGTGTGGGTCAACATACCGGTGTTGACCGTCCCAAAAATCGGGAACTGGGTCCAGGCACCTACTGCACCAGCCTCGGAATGCTCAACCTTGTAGTTCCTAGACTCCCAAGCACGTACTGCAATGATTGGCGGGTATCTAGGGGGAGGGACAGTCTGGACATACCCCAGCTGACGCAGACACCGCGCAGGAAAGTACGGCTCGACGACATCGCGGTATCAAATCAATCTGCTATAAAGAGTCCTCGGCTCTATCGCATCTGGGCTGGAGCTGCCGTATGGCAACCATTGCACCTGTTCACAATTGCATAAGAGCATTTATAAAAATAATTATTTTATTTTAAATAACGGGTAACTAAATTTAAATAAAATAACTTCACGTACATCGGAGGCAGTGAGTCTGTCGAGGCGCCGACGGATGGCTATGAGCCAATCGTCTAACCGTGGCGCATTCCCTACGCTTCACGAGCGTGATCGTGCGAGACAGTCAGGACCGATGGGTCGAAAATTGGGGAAATACTCATATATCCAAGACTGTAGAAGAGTCAAGCAGCCCGACATCTGGGCGGAGTCCCCTCGGCTGGCAATACCTAGCTTTCTGTACATGTAAGCCAGCGTAGCCGATTCCCATGAGTAACCCCCAATCAAATCCAAGCCGTCGAGCACCTCGTGCAGGAGCTTGGGGGTCAATCTACTACCACTCTTGTCGACGAACAATGTGGTAGCCAGCATCACCCACAGCCAGGCACCCGCCTCATCCCTAGTCGGCCGGTCTTTCCCCCTGAAAGCCCCCGAAATGGCGGCTTCGGACACCGAACCACGCTGCCAGAACGAACTCATGAATTCGCCCTTGGTGACTGAAAGTATCGACATGCAGAGCCCATGGCAGGCGTCCGAATCCAGGTCCTCAGCGACCACGACTCCCTCCACTGGAACGCCCAAAATGGCCCGGACGTCGTGCAGCATGATGCTCATTTCACCAAAAGGCAGGTGAAACGAGTTAGTATCCGGCTGCCATCGCTCCACAAAAGCAGAAAAGAGTGGGGTGTCCAAGTGGGTGTGCATGGAGTCGACCAAATGTGACAGCCCGGTCTGGTCGAGAAGAGCTCCCGCATCGGAAGACATCTCTTCACGCCAAGCCTTCAGATTCTCGATCGCTCGCAGTCTGTTGTGGCATTTCAGCGGTCCCCTCAAATTCCCACTCCACATGCGGGAGGCGACGTGCCCAAGAAAGCTAGGGATGACACTCCCATCAATGGGCCCACCGGGCACTGAGCCTTTAACGATCCAGGGTGCACCATCATCGGTCCTAGCTCGTTTGCTAGTACCTACATTAAAATACAACATATCTGTATATATTGACTTGCTGGCAGATGCATTAAATAAAATATATTTAATAAAACATATTTCATTAGTTACGTTACATTTTACATTTTACGTTATTATTATAAGCATATATAATTTATAATTATTAATATTATTTTTTGAATTTATAATTAATTACAATTTATTCAACTTACCCTAAATTACAAAATAATTATACCGTAGTTGAGGAGCAGGCCGATAATACTTTTCTAACAGTACCGATAATTTGTTATGATTAAGTGAAAATAATTAATGTTAAACAACAATAAATACGTAAATTATTTACCTGATGAGGATGCAGATGGGCCAAAACGCCCCCCAGCCTGTCGTTGAGGAGCAGGCTGTGTGGGACGAACAGCATGTACCGGACGAACATGCTGTAGAACCGGCTGTACCGGACGAACTGGCTGTACAGGAGGACGAGGATGGTTAGGACCCGTAGGCTGTGCGTGGTCCTGATCATCTGAAGAGTCTTCCGAGTCATAGTCCTCTGGACCCGGCTCCCTCTCGCCGTACGACTCATCATCAGCATACCCCTGCTGACCATAAGGTAATGGTACGCGTGCGCGGGGGGGTATCGACTTTCCTGCGTAGCGAGGAAAAGAACATCCCGGCTGATCGTACGGTCCTGGTGCCGGGGGCATCGTCCTGCCCGCCTGGCGAGGATAATAAAATCCATGTTCGCCGTACGGGAGGACTCCGTGGGGTCGCGAACTATCTGGCTGGCCCTCAAAATGATATGGAACAGTGGGCACTGGTGCGGGGGGGCGGGAACTCTGGCTAGCCTGACGAAGCTGTACCCTACGAGCCTCATCGATTAACGCCTGCCTTTCCGTGTCCCTCTCCTGACGAACGGACGCATTGACACCCCGACTTCTAGTGTGTCGGGTGCCAGAACCATCATAATAGTCATCGTACACCTCGTCGTCATCCCTGACATTAGATTGTCCAGATCTGCCAACACCCTGAATCAGAAATATAATTATTAAATTTTTCCATATGTAATGATTATTCTAATAACTATTAAAATAGATTATAATTCATTTTTCTTTTCATATATAAATTTTATTAATTATTATTATAATTATAATTGTTGAGATTTATAATAGTTATTATAATTTTTAAGTTCAATTATTATAATTAATACTAATTTATAATTATTATTATATTTAATTTTAATTATCATTACAAATTATAATTATTATTTCTTATAATATTATTATTATAAGCATATATAATTTATAATTATTAATATTATTTTTCAAATTTAT